TCATAAACATGCTATGCTTACTTTGGGCCATATATGTCAAATATATTTTCAAAGATTGTCTTTATATGTGCCAAACATTCCACATCAATGATTTCTAGTCTAATTGGTTTTGGTGACAAGAGAGTGTGATTTAACTTTCTTATATATTTGGAAGGGAAGCTATTCTTTTTCCAAATATCTTGCCAAGCCTGGACATTCAGGAGCTTATTTCTTGAACTTCATGGTTCAATAAAGATGCACACCCTATAGTTATTTTGAGCCCCCACCGCCCAATATGTCTTGGGCTGGTTGAAGTTTGACATAGATGGGCACACAGCAGCATGCCAAAATGATATCCCTTGGATCCTTTATTTTATTTTTCTTCTTAAATCAGGCCACCAAATGAATCACTCAGCCAGAGTAAAAGCTCTTCAGCAGATTTCAGAACTACTTAGGAAACTGTCAGGGAGGACACACCTGTGTGAGAGCCACCACCAGAGCAAATGCCACAGCATGTGCTAGATGAGCACTTTCCTTTCCCCCAGGTGACAGCGGGGCCCTGGGCTGTGTTCTCTGAGATTGTAATGCAACCTGTCCAAAGCCTCATGAACTTAGTAATTCTTTGTGGGTCCCTCCATGAGTGAGAGTCTGTCACCAGCTCTATGAATTGGAGGTGGCCCCTTATCTTCTCAAGTCAGTAAGTGGAGCCTCCCGAAGGCATGTGGACACACTCCAGCCGATGAAGGAGAACAGAGGCTTAGCCTTTGAGCCCTTGTTAGAAGGCAGAGAAAGAGGAAGTGTCCCCAGTGCTTACCAGGTTGCTGCTTCCCCTGCTAAATTTTTAACCGCACATTTTGCCCCATTAAATCAGAATTGATGAAACCCTTATAAGTGCGTAGTGTCTGAAAATTGAAAATCACATTGAAAAATAACAATATTGTTGACTATACAAGGCAATTTCTTCAAACTGAGTAATGATGTGATGTGTGTGGTTAACCGTATCTACGCAGGAAGTGGTTTTATTTAAAAGTTTTTGTGCTCACCCCACCCCCTGCTTTTTTTTTTTCTCCAGTACTGAAATTAAGCAGCATCCAACCTAGGCCTACTCTTACGACATGTGACTTTACTGTTTTCCGTTTTTGTTGAAAGAGTCATTAACTGTTAGAAGTTGATGGCAGTTTCAATAACAGGTCAGCACTGAGGAAAGGTAAGTGCATTTAACTTCATATTGGGCGTGCAATTTCAATTTGAAAATGTTTGGCAGAGTATCCTGTGTTTCTCTGTGAACGTATAAACTCTTCCTATAAAGTTGTGATGTTTTCACTTGTAATTAAAATACCAGTTTGTTTCCTTTGGTGTAGAAAAGAATATTGTTTTTATATTTGCAACTGTTAAATTCTAAAATCCTTTTAAAGATATTATACTAAGATTTCATACAAAATATTAAAGATAAAATAAGATATAGTTTTAGTTTGAAAGTGCTTTTAAAAATAACTACTGGAGAAAACGTAGGACTTTGCATCTTTAACTGACTGATTCATTAAAGTATGTACTCTTCAAGATTCAGATAAAAAAGAGAAAAGGGCACTTTGTAACAGTAAGAAATAATATCTGAATTGTATGCAGCGTGAAAGATACTGTAAAGTGTTGTATTAAAGTTTGCATTAGAAACCTTTGGAAAGGTATAGTTTATTAAATGTGTAGTTTATTAAATAGCTATTAAAAACAAAGAAAATTTTAAAATGCGAAAGAAAGCTCTTTATCATGACATTTAATTTTTCCCCCTATATTTTATTTAAGATATAGGGTGAAATGAGAGCTTTTCTATTTCATAAGCAAACTTTATGTTTAAAAGAGAAGTCACAGCTTACTTCACTGAAGGTTACTTCTGGGAAAAGAGGCAAATTAGACATACATTTCTGGTATTTACTTAACTATATAATTTTCCTTCTTTGAGATTTCCAAAACAATAACCTTAGAAATTAAAAGGATTTGTTAATCATAAACTGACAAGAACTTTTCTTTTATATTCACTTCTTGCTTTTACAGAATGTCTTTGTGTGCTGTAATATATGTACAAAAAATACAAAAGTATTACTAATCTCAGCGACAAATACCTAAAATAGATCTGACTGTGGATTTTGGAAGAAATTTTAATGAAAGCTCCAGATATGATCCACTCTTCCATGATATTATTTTTATTATGCTCTTGGATGGGGGAAATGATGGCCCCCACAACACCTATTTTTTTGTGTTATTAAAAAATAGTTATAGGGTTGATACGTGGCAACGATTTTCTTTTCTTTTATTGTCTTCTATTGAAAGACTCCTATAAATTTTTTTTGATGTGGTCAATTTGGTAGGAAATTATTAGTTATACTAGTACACTCCATGTTAAGATCTCTTCAATTGTCAATACTGAAGCTAGCTACTTGTGGACGATTAAATTGATTATGAAAAAGTAGAGATTAGGACTTGATGTTCAATACATTTTTTATTGTTAGAGTGTAAAAGAACCCTGGCAATATGTATCTGCTTTGATATTCTGATTAGCTTTTCAGTTTGCTGCGTTCGCTCACAATGGGAAGCGTTACTTAAATCTGTCCTTGATATTGTGGTTCTGAGCCTCTGCATCTATGAAGGCTGTATAATTCAGATAGCTTGGGTTGATAAGTTATTACTTTATTTCATTTGATTATAAGAGAACATCACATGAATAAATATATGTAGTACTTACACTTTAGCAAGAATGAATATCCACATAAGCATTTGGCACTGAAAAAAAAGTCCACCAGTTTTTTAAGTGATTTAATATTTTTAAAACCTAAATTCCTTCTAAAATGATTGGTTCTTACAGAAACCATTAAATTAAAATGGAAATGTTTGATCAAGTGTGTGTAAAATTAAGAATTAATTAAATATACTAAACATGGATTTATGAAGAGCCACAAGTTGAGAAGATAGACTTGTAAACTAAAACGCTCTCAGAGCTGTTTGTAAAAATTTGTAATGTGTTATCTCTTGAGCGTACAGACCAAATCTTGAGAGGGAAAATCACAAATGAGTTACTGTGTCTTTATACATTTTAAGTGAATAAGAAACAAATTTTGGTGAAATAAAAATAGTGCGGAGGATCTAATTTGAAAGTCATTTCAAAGCTGATTTGTGAAAAAATATACATTTCCACTTGAGGCCAGGATTCAGTAAAGTTCAGAAGGAGATATTCTCCCCTTCCCCGTTAATATTCCTTTTCTTGTCCTTTTTTAATGCTCTGTCCTGGAGTGGCCTGCTCTGTCCCTAACTTCAGGCCTCCAAGCCTTGGTACCTAGAGAAACAGACTCTATTTTTCTCTTCCATCCCACACCCATTGTTCTTAGAACATAATCATCCTATTTCCCAGCACTTAGGGCATCTGATAAAAATAATCCTTGTGCACAGGAGAAGACTCCAGGGCTTTTTTCTCTCCTAACTTCTTATCCAGATCTCCACTACTCCTTGCAGTAGAATTTGAATAAGGTCTCTTAGCAAACAGAATCCAAAGGAACAGCTAAATATTGAAGACCTCAGTCTCAGGTGAGGAGACTGATGCCATGACAAACAGTTTGGGGGAAATATTTTGGGGGAAAAAGTGTTTTGTTAATCACTGGTCCTGTCTGTGGCATTTAAATTTCTAAGAATGTTTTATACAAAGGGTCCATCACAGAGATGTGTCCTTTTCTCTAAGATATTCCTGAAGAAATACACACTTTTCTTGTAGTAGATGAAAATTAATTACACTACATCTTTAGACTATTTTGGTATTCCCACACTCTTAGAAATACTTAACATAATCAATTGTTTTATATATGTATTTTAAAAATTATTTACTATCCTGAATTTAACACTTTAGGTACCATATTTTTTTCCACAGCAGGATAAATGTTACACGGCTAAACTTTAAAATGTGCTTGTAAGTATTCTAAATTTCAGCTGGTAGTAGACAAAACTCTTTTTGTTTGCAAACGATAGAAAAAAAAGTTAGAATCAGCGTGGGCAACAGAGATAGGCACTGATTTGTATAGCTGAAAAATCTAAGGAAAGTGAAGTCACACAGGCTAGGTCCAGGAGCTCACAGTTATGAAGATCGTTCTCTTCATTCTTTAGCTCTCTTTTTCACTTTGCTATAAGCAGTCTCTGGCAGAACATCACACTAAGTTGGCCAGAAAGCTTAAGGTTTACATCTGACCCTTTCAGCAAACTCTTTACAAAAAAAAAAAAAAAAATGCCTTTCTCCTATCATCACAGCAAAGATATCTCAGACTGAGATCAGACTGGGCTGACGTGGGTCACCTCTGAGACACAGACACCCTGAGTGACCAGGCTGCGGCACTGGCCCACACTTGCCTTAATGAACCACCTGCCCCCGCAACGTATGGACCCTCAGCTGACAAGAGGGGTCCCCATACTGAGGAACTAAAATGTTTCCCTCGGAGGAAAGGTGACTTAATAGGTAAAAGTCACAGAAAAACCAGTACATAGCCACATAGGCGCACATTTAAAAGCATCACATACTCAAATTTTCCAGACTCTACGATCAAACACAGTGGCAGTTTCAGGGTACGTCTGAATAAAGCGAGTGTTTCAATTAAACTGAATTTTAAAATATTTTTCAGCAGCTGCTCCATATATAAACCCCTCCCCCTCATACTTAGCTTCTAAAAGCTTATCATCTAGTATGATTATTGCACTAATAATTATAGTGCCAACAAAATTTGTCATACCATAAAAATATATATGAAATGTTCTATTACGATTCAGAATTTCGTGGAACATACTTATCTTCCCGTTACGTGCCAGGCAGTAAACTAGAGAATTTTGCAAGTGTTGTATCGTTTGGTCATATCTAGTCAGAGATAGCAGGACAGTCTGGGAAGAAATATTTGTTCAGGCGTCTCCCTTCTCCGCAGTTTCAGTTACCCACCCTCAGACACGCCCAAAAATGTTAAAGGGAAAATACCAGAAATAATCCGGAAGTTTTAAACTACTCACCATTCTGAGGAGCCTGAGGAAATCTCGCGCTGTCGGGCCCGGGGCGTGAACTGTCTCGTCAGGCATTTCCCGTTAGTCTCTTAGCAGCCACCTCGCTTGTGGGATCGGCGCTCGCAGGTTCGCAGCTGCGCGGTCCAGTCACCCTTATTTCACTTAATACTGGCCCCAGGGCGCAAGCGTAGCGCGGCTCGCAATTCAGATATGCCCACGGGTAGAGGTGAAGTGCTTCCTCTAACGGGAAGATGAAAGAGAGAAAAATCGTATGCGGAGATCTACGGTAAGAACAAATCCGAATCTTCTATTCGTGAAATTGTGAAGAAGGAGAGAAAAATCCGCGTTCGTTTTGCTGTCGCACTTCAGACTGCAAAAGTTATGGCCACAGTACGTGGTGAGTGTTTAATTAAGATGAAAAAGGTATTCAATTTGTACAGTAAGATATTTTGCGCGTGAGACACCACATTTACACAACATTTATTACAGTAGACTGTTAAAATTGTTCTACTTTATTATTAGCTGTTTTTAGTCTTTAACTGTGCCCAATTTATAAATTAAGCTAAACTAGGTATGTGTGTAGAGGAAAAAGCATAGTATAGACAGGATTTGGTACTGTCCACGGTTACAGGCGTTCACTGCAGGCCTCGGAATGTGACTCCCGTGGAAAACGGGGCACCACTGTGGTGGTTTCCAGAAAAAACTGGGGCTGAGGCGATAAGAAACATTTTGAGACAGGAAGGGAATGGTGTCAAGGCACAAAAACATGGAGTATCAGAGAATTTCCAAGGAAGAGTGAGTTGTCTAGCTTTGTTAGGTAGACGTATACTAGTAGGAGGTCAGGGCAGATAGTTTCAGCCTCTAATAGAGTGGACCTGCCGAGCAGATTATGGCTAAAGGTTTTATGTAACAACAGGGTTGATGAGCAGGGGAAATACATAATAGGATGTCCACATTTTGCATCTGGGTGGGCTATCTAGTGTCACGATTTATTTGCTTCCTTCATATACCTCACTGTTGGTAACATGCTCTTCAGGGTGGTTTGCAGAAGTGGCTGTAGTTAGTAAAGGAAGGTATTCCTGTAAAACTAATGACCCGTTCACCTCCCCAAGGTGCCTCGAGGTTCTTATAGATTGTGGTTATAATGATTTCTTTTTCATATTATGAAAGTTAGTTTTTGTTTTCTTTTTAATTTGAGAATAAGTGATACAGTGAAATGTTTTAAAAACAAATAAAACCTAAATATAAACATTTGAGTGAAAATCTTTCTTACACTATTTTTATATACCTCTATTTATTCCCACCTTAACCAAACAGGCAACCACTTTTAATAGTTTTCTTTAATCCTTCATATTATCTTTATGCAAAAGCAAATATGTATATATATATATATATATATATACACACATGTATGTGTGTGTATATCTTTATTATATTAAAGGTGGTATACTATATACACTCTCCACTTGTTTTTTTTTTCTTTTAGCAATATCTTGAAGATATTTTAATAATAAAAACAAGAAACTGTCTAATTCTGTTTGTACCTGTACAGTAATCTAGTGTGTGGATGTCATACTTAATTTTGATGTTTTTAATTATTTTTTACTAAATACAAAGAATGTTGGAATATAATTGTGTACACTTGAAAATACAGCTATGGAGTGAATTCCTATTTATTTATAAGCCAAGAGAAAAAATAATTTTCATAGTTAATTGCCAAACTATCCTTCATGTTAGTTGTAACATTTTGAACTTCCGTCAGCACTTAGTGAGAATGCTGATGGCAGCCATGTACCTTTTCCAATAGATTGTGTTATGAAACATTTCAGGTTTTGCCAATCTGTAAAAAAATATATCCCAGTGAAGTTTTATGTAAGATTTCTGTTATTATGATTGAGGTTGAGCTTGTTTTTAAAAGATTAAAAGCTATTTGTTTTTCTTAATAAGAGAATACAATCTTTCTCAGCTGTATAATTAAGGGCCAAAGGTATGTCACATTCGAGGCTAGAATGAGATGTTAAAAGAATTAAGGAACTGGGTCTAGTTTATGTAAAATACTCTCTTTATAAAGCTCGAAATAAGCAGTAGCTTAAAAGAATGACATATGAATGTTGACCTGAAGGAAAAGAGAAAAAGAATGAAAATCAAGAAAAAAAAATGTCCAGATATCCAACAAAGTCTTAGAGGATACTAAGCCAAATGGCTGCAATCACCAAAAACAGAGACAGAGCACTTCAACAAGTGTGTATGTAGATGAATGGGATATAGATAAAATGAAGTGAGGAGAGGAAGTGGAGGGAATGCATGCTTCGTGGATTCTGTCTTTGAAATCGTAGGAAAGCACATTTGATGAGAGGGATTCTCTAGAGGGTGCTGAAGAATAGGCAGAATACCTTATTTTAAAATTGGCTTTGTCAACAACACACAGTACAATTGTAAATTTTAAAACTGATTTTCTCTTTCAGTGGATATCAGCTCAGTTCAGTTCAATTCCGTAAATAATGCTGAGCTCTAACTAAGTATACTGTGTTGTACTTGGACTTACTGGGGAATCTAGCCAAGCACATTGGAATTACTATGGCTAGATTATCTCCCAGATTATCTCCAGGATATTATCAAAAGAAAAAAGAAGTGGAGCAGTGTACATACAATAGTACCTTTAATATAATAAAGATAATACACACATATACATGTATATGTGCTATCTAGCCAGTGAAAACTTCTTTGATAGCTTAGTGCATAAGCACAAGACTTTAAATATAAATTTATAAGTATAAATGTAATGCCAAAGAAATATTACAGAACATGATATTGTCAGAGCCCCAGTGGTTTCATTTTGCCAAACTCAATGGCTATTTCTATATGATTGTATTGTCCATCATCTGAGTTGCATTTGATGCAACTGAACACTTTTCCCTCTTGAAACTCTCTCTTCATTTGACTTCTAGGATATTTCATTCTCCCAGTTTTTCTCCAAACTGATTGGATGCTCTTTCTCTGTCTCTTCCTCATTATCTAACCTTCTAAATGTTAAAATATCCTGCACTCAATCTTCAGATTTCTACCTTTCTTTTAGCTCTTGTCTTAGTTTATTCCTAGGTGATCTTGTGTAGTGCCATGGAGTATGACACTAACTATATTCTAATTAGATCTCAAGACCAAACCTTTTTTTTTTTAGCACTTAAACTGTAAATTAAATTGTCTACCTATCATCTCCACTTGAATGCTTCATAGAGGCATCAAAATAAGTATGTTCAAAACTAAGCTCTTAATTACTCCCCACCTGCCCCAGCCTGCTTCTTCTCTGTTTTCATTTATCTCATTTAATGGCACCACTATTCATCTCTCTGTTCAGGACAATAAATTAACAATTACCCTCATTTCCACTCTATCTCTCACACTTCTTACCCCAAACCACATCCAATTAATCAGCAATAAGCAAAGCCTGCAAAATACTGGCTTACCTCCTATAATCCTGTTTACTTTTCTCAGTAATGACTCTTCAAAACTGATATATTTTTTTCAGACTAATGGCTATTATAATTTTTGGTAATTTTTTTTGCTTGTTGGTGTAGTGTAATGAATTCCCCCCAAACCTGCAAAATGAATACATTACAATATGTGACATTTAGATACTATCATAATTTTAGATAAAACCATGCTTACTGATTTACCTTCTAGTTTCAAGTTAGAGAAAAAACATACAAAATAAATGGAGTAATGTTGATTTGAACATTTTATGAACTTTCAAGAAGGCTGAAGAGGTAGCAAATTGTAGAATCTACCAGTTAGGTTTTTTTGGCCTTAAAATTGTTTTTCTGTGCTGTAATTTATCATTAAATATGCTCTGAAGACAAAAAAACTGTAAGTCTTAACAAACATTTGAGATATTGGTGAAAAAAAAGATACAGAAGAAAGGAAATTTAATAAATAAACTTTTTATATTGTATTTTATCAACAATTTAAAAAATTGTTGCTACTACTTACATAAACCCATTTTAAGAATCTATTCATGCCTTTTTATACTTATAAGTATTGATTGGATATCTGGATTTTATTTCACTGATTTTCTCTTAGCAGGAATGAATTAGACATTAAGCAAGGGGAAAATGTATATCAAAATATCTGAAATTTAATCACTTCTTATCACCTCTACCACTGTTACTGCAGAATTCTCCTGACTCATCTGCTTGATTCTACTTTTTATATAATAGTCATTCTTCAAAGAGTAGCCAGAGTAACTTTCTTATGACTTAAATGTACAACTTTCCAACATTCCAAATGACTTTCTATTATACTTTTTTTTTAAATTGAAGTATAGTCAGTTATAATGTAACAATTTCTGGTGTACAGCACAATGTCCCAGTCATACATACACATACATATATTCATTTTTGTATTCTTTTTCATTAAAGGTTATTACAAGATACTGAATGTAGTTCCCTGTGCTATACAGAAGAAATCTGTTTTTTTCATCGATTTTTATATATAGTGGTTAACATTTGCAAATCTCAAACTCCCAAATTTATCCCTTCCCACCCCCTTTCCCTTAGTAACCATAAATTGCTTACTATGTCTGCAAGTCTGTTCCTGTTTTGTAGATGAGTTCATTAGTGCCTTCTTTTTTCTTTTTTTAGATTCCACATACAAGTGATATCATATGGTATTTTTCTTTTTCATTCTGGCTTATTTCACTTAGAATGACAACCTCTGTGCCCATCCATGTTCTGCAAATGGCATTATTTTATTCTTTTTATGGCTGAGTAGTATTCCATTGTGTAAATATACCACACTTTCTTTATTCACTCATCTGTCAATGGGCATTTAGGTTGTTTCCATGTCTTGGCTATTGTAAATAGTGCTGCTGTAAACATTGGGATGCATGTATCTTTTTGAATTAGAGTTCCCTCTGGATATATGCCCAGTAGTGGGATTATTGGATCATATGGTAAGTCTGTTTTAGTCTTTTAAGGAATCTCCATACTGTTTTCCTTAATGGCTGCACCAAACTACATTCCCACCAGTGGTGTAGGAGGGTTCCCTTTTCTCTACACCCTTTCCAGCATTTATCATTTGTGGACTTTTGAATGATGGCCATTCTGACTGGTGTGTGGTGATACCTCATTGTAGTTTTGATTTGAATTTCTCTGATAATTAGCAATACTGAGCATTTTTTCATGTGCTTGTTGGCCATTTGGATGTTGTCACTGGAGAATTGCTTGTTTAGGTCTTCGGTTCATTTTTGGATTGGGTTGTTTGTTTTTTTGCTATTAAGGTATATGAGCTGTTTACATATTCTGGAAATTAAATCTTTGTCAGTTGCATCATTTGCAAATATTTTCTACCATTCCATAGGTTGTCATTTTGTTTTGCTTATGATTTCCTTTGCTGTGCAAA